TGCATATCTACCGATTTATTTTGCACTTTACAACTTGCAGACTTGAGGGCTAATCACAGAAGTGCCAAACTGCTATTTAAATTGACTACCACGTAATTTTAATTGTACTCCACGTTAACTATCCAGACTACGTCACGAATTTACTATGGTAAAATTTGTAAAATCTTTGTTGCCATTTTTTTACATTAAAAGTAAGAACTAACGGGACTAAACGTATCGTCAAATTCTTACCTGATAAGATTGTTTCTCAACTAGTTAAAAATCTAAAAAAACCTGGACGATTTGAATTAATGTTCTCAACATTAATTGCTTGCTATGGGCTATGTATGGGTCACGAGTGTATGTTCACATCGAACAATATAGTAAAATAGGAAGTATAATGCAGCAATTTAACCATAAAAAGTGAACAGAATTACTTATATTTTGTGAAAAAGTGGAAATGTTTTTTTAATTTTTACTATTTATGGTGACGTAATCACTTTAACTGAACAATGTTTGTTTAGGACAATTTTGTCCATATGTCCACTGAATCTAATAGTTGTTTATAAGATACTGCAATCCTTCTCATCTTAAATTAATAAAAAATAAATACCCTCGGTCTGTAGCCTGCAGCCAAAAAGTTGCGATGCGCAACTTTGAATGTAGATAGGCTAGTAGTGGCACCACCTTCGTTGCAAGCAACGATACAGCCGTGTATTTTGAAACATTAAAAAAATATTTTTGATTAAATATTGAACAGTGAAATTTTTGTTGTACAGTCAACCTTGCTTAATTCGTCATCACTTTATACGTACAAAAGCATCTGGTCCCAATATTTTTCTTCTCTATTCCCTTTTAATTGCCATTGTGTAATTCGTATTCTGTAATTCGTAATTCGTACAAAATTCTCTGGTCCAATTAACATTATTCAATTAAGAATGACATGCGTAATTCGTAGGGGATGTTTGTTTATGCAAGCAGAATTTTATCTTTGAGAATATTTATAAACACTGCCACTCGCTTAACAATTAAAATCAATAAGCCAGTTCGTAGTTACGCATTGAGCATGCGGGAGATTCGGGGGGTGAACGTTTGCTAAAGGTCAATTGTACATAAAACGCTCGCTGTCTCTCCGTTCTTTTTTTATAGCAAGTGGAACCGTACGTACTCTATTTGTCCAAGTTTGTAATAAAATAAAATGTAACCAAGATTTGCTCAATATAGAATGTGTGTAAACTTTTACGTAATATGTGTGTATATTTTTATACATGTAGAACAAATACATGTTATTTTACATAGCTTCTGTATAACATGCATGCATATTATGTATAGTATACTAAGTATATGGCAAGTGCCTACGAGCGAACGCGCGATCCAGCTGTTCTTTCTGTATTTAAAAATTACCAAACATAAAGTACATTGCACAAACAGTTCTTTTTATTACAATGTTAAACTTTCATTTATAAATCGTTGTTTACACGAATTATCTATCTATTTTGTGGATTCTACGGATTAAATAGAATTCGTGGAAAATACGAATTAAGTCTAATTCGTTGATTACATAATTCGTAGAAAATGCCGTGGTCCTGTCTGATACGAATTAAGCGAGGTTGACTGTAGTACAATTTAAACCTATTTTAATTTAACTGAAAATAAGTAAGGATCCCTAGAGGGTCATGTATCCCTTTAACAATGTACACGCAGATGGTATTAAAGTGGATAAACCTTGCAGCTAGATGCAATATTATACCTACTGTGAGCTCGCCTATGTTGCAAAAATTTACTACAACTTACTTGTATTGCTACTTTCACAACATTTCTTCATAAAATTTAAACGAAAGTTACGAAAGTAGCACCACATGATGTTTACAGTGTTTACACATCCGGTACACAGCCGAGCGAACGTTGTGCTGCATTAACAATATTTAACAGTTCTTTTCTGTGATAACACATGTTATACTTTATTGTTCGATGTTTACTCGGTACAATATTGTGAAATTTGTTTAAATCACATGTTATCTACATTACATATATCCAATCAGGAAACAAATGTAGTGTTTTCGTTCCGGGAACTATTTGCGCTAGCGTAGGGCTACTATTTAGCGTCCTCCAACACTTCGCTCAACATAATTTATTTGTATTTTCGCCAAAACTGCATCCGACAGAGTAATTCAAAATAGTCATCTTCAGAGCACAATTCTGGCTCAATGTGAACATGTCGTGATGTTTGCATACTGCAAGTATACTCACAGTAGGTGTATATAGAGGCTTTTTGTTGCGAGGTTTATCTACTTTATACTTACTATTGCGAGATTTTTGCTCAGAAAAACTAAATATAGGTGAATATAGTCTCACTTGACAGCGGAAATATCACTGATTACACCTACATTAAAAACACTAAGATTTTATGCAGTTATAGCATAGAAAAATGGATTTGAGTCTTTTGACCACGTCATACCAGCAATAAATATTATCGTATGCCAACTCTCAAAAAAACAAATGGCGCCTTCAAACCAAGTGCATATTTAAAACAAAAGGGCATGCAATTCTGTGTGGTAAATATTATTGAGTTTTTATGTCAATAATTCAGAGCACTTTCTGTCATTGTCATTCCCGTGTTACTACCTGACTGGTAATCCACAAGCTTCTCTAATAACAGACTTTACGCGGCATTAGTACTACACTCCTGTTACACTAGTATGAACGTCTGTGTTTAGCACTGTTTACACTCTGACCTGATTTCTGCAGTGCGACTATATGCATTACTGCACCGTGATAGATGTCTCGCGCTACCGCGACAAAAATTCGAGAGATGGCAATGGTAAACATAAACAGAACGCAAAATTGTAATCGTGCATGATTGGTTGAATACGAAGGTTCTAAGACATATTATCGTTACTCTAGACAATTGCTGTTACTCGAGCAATAACGGTAGGTATCATGAAAGTGGGGAAAACACTGGAAAACTCTCGCAATAGTTACTTTAAAGCCAGGATTGCGAACATAACCTCCAACAAGTCTGACTCTCATGTTGTCCCCACTTTTATGAAACTTGCCATTATTGCTTGATTAACAGCAACTGTCTAGAGTGTCTTAGAAGTTAGAACCTTCGTACTTGGCTATATTCACCAAAACATGCACGATTCGAGTTTTGATTACTCGTTTGGAGTACCCTCGTCATTTCTTGTGAATCTCGTGATAGCGCGAGGTATTGGCCAATTTCAAAATAGAAATGCAGTAAACTACACATAATCGGATGCCCTTTTGTTTGAATTAGGTGCACTATGGGTGCACTTGTAACTTATTGGTAAACTAAGGCGCCATTTGCAAATTCATTGTCACTACAGGTACACCACCGATTTTCCGGAACCCTTGGTTCCAAGGCCTTTCCAAATTATCCGTTTTTTCGGACCAAAAGAACTCACATAATAACAATTCAACAATACACCTCTGAGTAACTAAATACCTCCCATGTCTCTAAAGCACCATTGTGACCATGCACTGCTAGAAACTTAAATTAAAGGAACAGTAGCCTCTAGGTTCTAGGGTTATTTTCAGCTAATTTAGGTTATAATTACGCTACATAAAAAGTTTCATGGTTCAATCACCATTAGAAATATTTTTTTTAAATGTTTTAAAACTAACGACCACAGTTTGATTACAACGACGGTGGCGCCACTCAAAGCGCACGATCTGAGAAGTTGCGCAAAACCACTTTCCAGCCAAGGGCTACAGACCGAGGGTATTTCTTATTTATTCATTTAAAAGCAAAAGGATTGTAATATCTTATAAACGACATATAGTTTCAGTTATAATATGGATAAATTTGCCCTAAAATGAATATCGTTCGGTTAAATAGCATTTAGGTATAAATATAATTGCACTTTTGTGATTAGCCCTCGGTCATTTACCTGCAAAATAAAAATGCAAATACGCAACTTTTTCAGGGTGACAGCACGGTCGCGGGTGTCATGGCGCCGTTCAAATTTCGTAGCGTTGATGTGTAAATAATTAATTAAGTATCTGGTGACAAATACATGTGGGTATAGACGATTTGTTATACAGTAAGTACAGTTGTATGCAGTAAAATCCTAGAGGCTACTGTCCCTTTAAACTTAATTTATAATAAATTTATTTGTGATGTTTTTGTTTTTTTATCACTGACACTTGCACCTGCCTTGGAAGCCATAGCTAGGGTAAAATTTGAGTAAAATAAGGTATGAATTGCATAAAACCAAGAGCTCACCCCCAAATGCTGCAGTTTAATTTAAGGAGAGTGCGCCGTCTGTAACACCCGTAATGCCCGCAACGCCATCTGTGGCCAACCGGTAAACTAATAGCAATTTCAAATGAATTTTTCCAGACTAAAAGAGGTTCCGGACACTGACAATCGGTGGTTTACCTGTATCAAATATGTCATTGTGTTACGGCGTGTTCAATTCCATTTTTCTATGCTATATATATATAGCCTAACAGCATAAATGATAAATTCTTAGAGTTTTTCAAGTTTGTGTAATTAGTAATATATCTGCTATGAGGTTAAAACTATATTTAGCTATATATTTTTGAATTGTGCATTTTGGAGCAATGATTTTACAATAAACCCTTTAAGTACATATATATATGCTCTATAAAGAGTATTATACACTAGTTACAAAAACCCCATTTTACAAACAAAGTAAAATTGACTCATTTGAAGTTCACATAAATAGTGTTAGAGTTTGAATCCAGTTAAAACTAGAGCTAGCATTATAATTTGATTAGAATTAATGTTACGAATCAGAATTCTGTTAAAATTGGGTCAGTATTAGAATTGGCATTTCCTTGTTGCATACTCTTTTAATCATATATATCTTCACTTTGAAATTGTTAACTTTCATACAATAGCCGGTGCAAAACAGCTTCCCATGTCTTTACCATTGCGGCATTGTCTTTTAATACCATTATTACATTTTAATTTTACAGCAATCCTACTTGAGAAATTCGAAACATTTTAGACATAAAATATTGTCTCTGTTCAGGTTGAGATGAGTAAGCGACCGATGTCCGTTTCTGATGTTACTGTTGCGACTGCCACTCCCACAGAGTCTGATTTGGAGAGGCAGAAACAGCATCATCGAAAGGCATTTGAGTATGTCTCACGTGCACTAAAAATTGATGAAGAAGACACTGGTAAGCTGTATACATTATTTACTAGTGATGGGAATCAGCTGGAATTTCATAATCGATTATCGGTTTCCCTTAACCGATCGATAATCGATTATG